TTTCCTTACTTCCCAGGAAACTTAACAAACGTTACCTTTTGGCCTCAGGTGAAGATGCCAATGATGGTCGTTCAGACCACCTCGGGTGGCTCCAATGACCCTAACGACTGTCGTTACAACAGCCAGGAGCACTAACGAAACAGCGGTATCGACGATCCTGGCAAACGACTCGAGTTTCCCTACTAGTCAGTCAGAACTGAAGAAGTCTCTTGGATGAGAGATGAAATGTCTAGTATCTTCATCCAAGTCCAGTTGCCCTTGACTGGATTGACCTGGATGACTGAGAATCTTCACAGACATCTAGATATGAGAGCTGCCCCATCCAAAGTGAGAGGAACGCGGGTCTCCTAATCAGATCAGTTATTCCCCAAACAGTCTGCCAATAAACTGCAAGTGTTGTGTGTTGAATAGAGAGGACCCAAACGCAACGCTCAGACGAAACAGGTTTTATGAAGGGAAAAAGGGGTTGAGGGAGGGGAGATGAGGAAGAGGTGGCCAAGGACCGAGGAGCAGGTGGGGTAGATGAGGCTGAGACTAGGGAGCCGAAGAAGGGAGGAGGCACGGGAGACCTGACCGGGGGCGTTGGTAGAGGAGTGTGGTGGCGGGCTGACTGGTGAGACACGAGGAAGAGCCCGGAGGACGACATGGAGGAAGCCCGAGAGGAGAGGGCAGGTACTGTAGGCGAGCCCAGCCGCCACGACAGAAGACGGTGCAGGTGTGGATCGTCAGCTGGGCTCAGGAGCGGAGAGAGAGAGGGAGAACACAAGCTAGAGGAGCAGAGGAGACACAGAGAGGCAGGCAAAACGCAGGGGAAAACAGAATGTAGGAAAAAAAGGAGAAATAAACAGGACACTCGCCGTCAGCCGGGCTGCCACCACAACGCAAAGCCCACATCGATTGCCGGGCACCACCCCGACAACCAACGGCCAAGTGATGACATGCGGCTATAAAAGTCTTCAATTCAATTCAATTCAGTTTTATTTATATAGAGCCAAATCACAACAGCAGTTATCTCACAGCGCTTTTCATAAAAGAGCAGGTCTAGACCGTACTTTATGATGATATTTACAGAAGCCCAACAGTTCCCACCAAGAGCAGCACTAGGCGACAGAGGCAAGGAAAAACTTCCTTTTAAGAGGCCGAAACCTTGAACAGAAGCATGGCTCAGGGTGGGCGGCCATCTGCCTCGACCGGTTGGGGGTGAAGGAGAGAGAGAGAGGGCAGGAGAGGAACAGAGAGAAAAAGAGAGGGATGGAAAGGTTCAGATTTGGCAGGGGTCCAGAGAAAACTACAAAGTCATATACCACAACTCAACATTATTCTTAGTGACCTCCAGCTGGCGTAATGGGGAGTCATTACTGCCGACGTGAATAACAATTTTACTGTATTTACGTTTATTCTTGTGCCAAAAGTCCACTGACTCCAGCTGCGTCGCGTTACGGCTGTGCCATGGTTGCCGGAGATAATCGCAGCCATTTTAGTCAGTGCTCCTGAGTCCTAGAAGTGGCTCTACGCTCCGCAGAGAATAGGCAGCCGTTGTTCTGTCGAGTTATGCTACCTATAGAGATGGCTACTTAGAGGTTCTGCACATGCACACGACCCACAAGCATGGTCTTTTTCCATGCCGATAAATCTGTGCAATCTTGCTGTTGGGCATGTCGTCAAGACAGTGGTTGATCGTGAGCAGAATAGGCTACCCTTGATATCTTAAAGATGGCATAATACAGTATTTCAACATGCTCCCCATCTCCTTACAGTACACATGGAGTGGAAGTGGGCTATTTAACTGACATCTACACCAGGGGTCCTCAACTACATTTGTTCTAAGCAGACACTGTGGGCGCCGCACAAAAATAATTGCCATATTCCAGTTTGATATTTTCAACTTTTGCAAAATGAACATTTTAATAGCTTCTATCAGTGTGAACAGACTCCTAAAAACATGGTAGGCCAAAATCCGTAATGATAAGTCTACATAGGCTGCTACATGGGTTTACTCAACCAGAAAATGCTCTCAGACCGCAGCCAATGAGTTCACTGAGGAGTGATGGTTAAAATCTGTAATGATTGGCATTAATTTACCGGTTTTGACGCTATTAGCTGCCCGATATTGTGCATGAGACACCTGTAGTTACTGGTGCTAACAGCAGATGCCTTTTAATAGCATAGGGCACAGACGTCTGGGGCAGCTAAACAAACTATTGTCGGGGAGTAATTGGTATTTTCCATAATTCTAGGAGCAGTTATGATCTGAATTTATGCTGCACACAACATGAGTCTGCGAACAGCAAAAGGGAAAGGAGCTGGTTACCTGGCTGAGAAGGTGGAGGTGTGCAGCTCTGTATCTAACAGCTCTCTGTGTCTGCTACTCCTGACTGTTGCATTGCTCACTGCCATATTTCATACTGGTCTGCAGTCAGTAAACAGCAGACCGGTGATGGGGCAGTGGATGAGACACATGCTTTTGGTGTGAGAGACCCGGGTTCGAGTCCACTGTGAGACACCAATGTGTCCTTGAGTAAGACACTTAACCCCAAGTTGAGTAGCCAGAGGCGTGCTTTGGATAAAAGCATCAGCTAAATGAGTAAATGTCAGTAAACAGTTGAAAATCACGCACGTGTTGACACATTGTAGCAGTCTACATGACAGCGGTCGAGAAGAACCATAGACTGTATATAAAAACCAGACAAACGTGACGTGGGTTGTCCCAGAAGCCACCGTGCACAAAACGTGATGATGTTTATCTCGACCGCTCGGCCACGCCTAGTTGTTAAATTAAAAAAAAGAGGTAATCAGTGTACATTATGTGTTAATATTCACTATACTATACTTATATATTATTAATATAGTATATTTATACCATAATTCCTGCAAATACTTATTTATAATAGCCTAATGATAATAATAAGGCAATGTTTCAATTCATACCACTGTTGTATATTTTATTTCTTCCAAAGTGATTTTAAGTTTCACAAACCAAGAATATTCTGTAATGTTACATCACAAGCCAGATGTTTCTCGATTTAGGTTAAAACTTTACAACATTACTGAGAATTTATTGACAGAATAACAGTGGTACAAACATTATCTGGACACGTCTGCTGTGTTGGCTGCAGTGGTCTGTGTGACTGGGCCTGGGGGAGCTAACCGTAGCTAGCTAGATATTCCTGACAGCCCCCCGAAGTATATTCCTCTTACCCCAACCAGGGTATGTGCCTAAAGTTATTGATTATATGCATGTCGACTGGTTAACCCTACAGCGGTGTTGCTGTGCAGCCTCCGGTAACGTTACTGCAGCTATAACACCCGTCGGCACTTGTGGAGCTTCTCAACTCCGAAAACGTTTGAACACATTTTCGATTCGCTGCCAATTTTCGTAAAAATGCCGATCTTCGAAATCTACACAGTTGATTTCTCACCTAAAAACTTCTCAGAATTGTATTTAAAGTTCTGTTGTTGGCTTCTAAAGAATAAAACGGTTTGCATTAGGATCTATCATGTACGTAAGCCGAGATGAAAGTCATCGCGTTTTGTGCGCAGTGTCTTCTGGGACAAACCATATTTGGAAGTTCAACTTCCTTCACGGTCTGCAGGCTGCAGCTGGATATACTTGCAGCTGTCAGCGCTGATCTCACTTACAAACAGATTGCATTTCCTGTGACAACTTCAAAATAAAAGCCATGTATTTCGCCCCTTAAACGCTTTTATTGTGAAGCTGCTGCAGCAGGGAATGATCAGTTTGCATTAGTAGTAACTTAATACAGCATTTTTTCACAGTTTACACTGCATCATGATAAAGCTGTTGTTCTCCTGCACTTGAAGCCAAAGTGGTCGCGAGTTTTTCCTTGCACTTTTTTTTGACTCAGTAAGGGATATGTTTGAAAATGTAGCGAACCATGGCATCTTGGTCAGAGGAGGATAAAAAGAAGAAGAAAGAGAAGTAGGAAAGCAACACAGAAAATAAACCAAAAACAATAGAATATACCTTTTATATTTCCCCTTATGTGCCGTGTTGTGTATGTTTAAATACAGAGTGAGAATGGGAGAACAGCACATAGCTCATTGTTACTGTGTGATTATAGAGTGGGAGAACAGAAGATACTTTTAATACAGCCCACACCTCTAACATTACCGTGTAACTAAAGTGGAGAACAAGATTTTTTACTCCTCTCTGCTTACCTTGAATGAAAGAATGAAAATAAATACTAGGTTCATCTGTACCCCGTTATTAAACATTTATGAATAGCTATGTTTGATCCACCTTCATATACAGTATATGCGACGTTATTACATTACTGTAGCCTGTTACTTGAGACGGGTCCCTTAGCTGCAACGCAAGATTAACTGTAAATAATTTTATTCTTTGCACATTGTGAACGCCACTGCGCTTTATTCTGGATTTGTTGTGCCTAAATAAAAGGTTTGTCACAGCTAAATCAGATGATTGTGAAAGTCATTCTTTTTTTCATTATTGTTAAAGCAGTTGCCTTTACATCCAAAGTTCTTTAAACTGATCTTCACTGTGGTATGTTCATTCATTATAGACATTGACAATAAACTTCAGGATGTAGCTGTTCACAAATACTGTACAGTATGTAACCTAAGGAACAATCATTCTAGCTGACAGACCATTGAACTGGTCACCTTAGCCATCATCGCAACAATTGCGCCCTGTGAGATTTGGCAGGAGCCACCACTGACTTCTAGTAAACGAAATTCCCTCTAAAAGATTTTCAGTGTAATTTCACAATAATTTGTGCAACAGGATCCATTACTCGAGGTAAGTAGGAAAGCATTTTTAGGTAGTATTTTAAGTAGTAGTTTTGTAGACTAATGTGGGTGAATTGACCCTGTAAATAGCCTATAGTTGATGATAGACGTAATATTCAGCGGTTGGTAAAAAAATGAAAACGCTGCGCTGTTTTATTTTGAAATCCTTGGCCGGACGTGTGATCCTGTTAAACTGACGGTATTGACGCGGTGCGGTCATAAAGCGGTGACCCCGGTGCAGCAGCAGCAGGGTGGTGATGGTGGTAAGCGTGCTTCTCTGCTGTGGGAAGAGCGCTTCTACTCCGCTCTGCCCTGTGATCCTGTTGTGCGCAACAAAACAAAGTAACCCATAATCCGACGGGGAAGGATTAAACAAACGCACTGGCGCTACGGAGAATCATATCATTGTGTACATTGACCGGACCGGTACCTAGAGGTGATATTCCCCCACACTCTATGTAACGTTATTATAGCGGCTAATGATTCGTTTTTGTTAGCTAAGCCGAGGCTTGCTTTAAGGTGGAAGTTTTCACCACAGTGACAAGTAACACACAGCTGAAACAGACACAGCGTGCCGCGGGCAGAGTCAATGGAACCTCAGTTGCTGTGCTGTGAGGGGGACAGGCCTGCCATCCGGAGGGCCTACCGGGACTCCAACCTGTTGACTGACCGGGTCCTGCACGCCCTGTTGCGGGCAGAAGAAAAGTACCTCCCCGCTGCCAACTATTTCAAATGCGTCCAGAGAGAAATGGCTCCGTGTATGAGGAGGATCGTGGCTACCTGGATGCTGGAGGTGAGTAAAGGCCAAAGTTCCTCTGCTTATCTGCAGAGTTGCTTGGTACAATAATGGATTGTCCTTTTGTGAGTAAGTTAAGCTATCTGAGAGTCGCTGGTTATTTCGGCCCGCTATATGTAATTTAACTGTCAAACTAACTAACTTTAGAAGGGGATTCAGACTGCTCTAGCACTGCTGTTGATTCTGTGGAAGAGACGAATAAAAGGTGTATGCGATTTTTATTTTTTCAAGTAGCCTAAACAAAGTTGATGCCTTATTGAAGTTACTTTCCTAAAGACTCTGTGGTGCACAGACGGGTTACATGTAATGCAGTCTTGCCCATAAACAGTGTTTTTGGATTCTCACTGGTGTTTTTTGATGGAGTCTGGAATTCTGTTTTCAGGAGTTACGTTACAAGGTTTGCTATCGGGTACAAAACATAGGTTCACCATGGGCATGACACTGGGCCATAATGCATCTTTTTTAACTAGGTGTAGCCTCTTAAGACGGCCAACATGACGCTGCCATGTGGACACTGGGCATTTAAAGCAGGTCATTGAGTGAAAGAGTAAGTTAGCATTCTCATGGCTTCAACAAAAGCATATCGACGCCGTCTTTACATAAAATAAACTATTTCCTGTTCACATGCCCTTTTAACTGTATAGTATGAAATTTCAAGCCCACAGAGAATGCAATCCATAATATATAGTTGAACAACTCAAAGAATATTTTGGAGTATTTTTGGAAAATGCTGCGGTATACGCAGACCACGCGCCGCCTTTGTGCTGGGGGCTCGCGAGGAAGTTTTACCTCCATTAATTCTTTCCATAGAGCTGAAATTGATGTTTCTTCATCTTTGTATCTTACAGTTACTGTATTTGAGCATAACGTCAGTTTTCCGCCAGACCCGTTTTTGTTGACATAATTTATTTTTTGTTGGTAATGGACTTAAACTATTATGAAAACTGTCTTTTTTGGGGGTGGTTATTTTGTGAAATTATTATTAAATTACCTAACTATGCCATGCGTCGGCTAGTTGCCATCACTGTATTAACTGCTGACAACATTTCTCAGTATCATGAGCCTTGCCATTAGAAACCATACCTAAAGCATTCTCACAAATAGAAAGTATTTTTAGCAGCACTTTTTTGCAGAATACTACTAAAAACAGGATTCCTTCAAGCTTACACAGGCATCACACTGGCTTGTGACCTGTTTTGCATGCTGTACATGAGGTATAAATGAAGTACACAACGAAGCATGTAGGTGATTGGGATGAACAAAACTAAGGGTATGGGCCGAAAGTGATACCAGTTCTCTCTTTTCTTCGATTTTAAAATCTGTATACCTCACGTATTGGCATTATTTTTATAGGGTAAGAGAACATTAGGGCAGGGATAGCTGTGGTGCTAAAAGCTGTGTCAGTTGCATTTTGTGACTTAACTGTATTTAACAGCAGTACTGTTGTCTGGTTTGTCTGTGCAGGTGTGTGAGGAGCAGAAGTGTGAGGAGGAGGTTTTCCCCCTAGCTATGAACTACATGGACCGCTTCTTGTCAGTTGAACCCACCAAGAAGAACCATCTGCAGCTAACTGGAGCTGCCTGTATGCTCCTGGCATCCAAACTGAAGGAGACGATCCCACTCACTGCTGAGAAACTCTGCATCTACACAGACAACTCTATCACACTTTCTCAGTTGCTGGTAGGTCATTCAGTAGTGACCTATGGATTAAAACACTATAATCTAACGTCAGAAGGGGGGCATTTGGCCTACGTGTCTGTCTGTACATTTTTGTTCAGATCAAGGAGCCCCACCACAAGATTTAAAATTTTCTTGACCAATTCTTTAGGCCATGATTAAGTGTCTTGAAAAAAGTGCTGCATTACCATGAAGTTCACTGTGGATGTTTATGGTCCTTGGAGGAGGATTCCTAATGGTTTAAATGTCCCCACAAGTAGACAAAAACCATCACCATCTTTGTTATCTCCTGCATCTGTCTATTTGGCTCACACTTGAACTTGTCCTTTTATTCTTCTCTCTGTCCTCATCCACGCACAGCAAATGGAGCTGCTGGTTTTGAACAAGCTGAAGTGGGACTTGGCCTCAGTAACTCCTCTCAACTTCATTGACCACTTCCTGTCACAGCTGCCTGTCAGGAGAGAGAACAGGCCCATACTCCGGAAGCATGCTCGTACCTTCGTGGCATTGTGTGCCACAGGTATGTATGGGTCCACATTACTTACATGACTGTCTTTTTATAAAAAGGGGTGAAATGTCTCTTAGGTATGTAAGGTGTTCCCATAAGCACTATAAACACAGTGGCACTTCAACTGAGGCACTTTTTAAGCCAGGCCATCCTTATTTGTTATGCAGTAGGCTGCACACTATAGCAGTCTGGCAGACTGACCCTGCAGCAGCAGTGTTTATTACAACATCGAATATGATACGAATGATGGAATAATTTCATGTTTGCTTTAGGTTGACTTTATAAAGTTAGTTTTCATATTATAATGTTTCTAAAAAAGAACTTCAATAACTCCTTAGTCACACAAGTGCAGCTTGACAAATATAGACTCTTATCTGTTCTGTTTTTTCCTGCCCTTGTCTCATCATCACTGGGATGACTCTGCTCGGTGGCTACACAAATAACACAAAAACACAGCAGTGGATTATGGAAGCGCACTTGTTTGATCTTGCAAGTAACATCCTGACATCCCTCCACAAGTTGATTTTTATTTTTTGCCAAACAATAAACTCCACCACGCATATGGTTGTTTCAGGGCTTGGCGGCAACCTCCACCAAAATAACGCAGGGTGCCCAGCAGGAAAGTTGAACCAGGCTAAACCTATGCTGCAACGTCATGTGGCGTGGCACTACATTGGCCAAACATATGCATGTGCACATTCCTGCTAGATTACTGTCTGACTCTGTGTGTGTGTGTGTGTGTGTGACTGGACCAGTGCAAGTGTGTTTTCAGTCTGAATTAAATCTTAATAATCTTTGACTATGGAAGTTGAATTCTGAATGTTTTTTGTCCTTATTTGGTTGTCTTTATTCTCATCAGCTATTTGAAAGGTGCAATATTTACATCATGTTCCATTTTAATGCTCCGCAGATGTTAAATTCATAGCCAGCCCTCCGTCGATGGTAGCAGCAGGCAGCATGGTAGCAGCAGTGGAGGGCTTACAGATGACGATGGTGGGCAATGCCATGATGTCTCAGAAACTGACAGAGCACCTGGCCCAGACCATCAGGAGTGACCCGGTGGGTACATCTGTCCGTGACATGACTTGGCTCAGCTCTGCTTGATACAATTCAAAGCAGGTTTATTTACATAGTCCCAATGACAAACATGCAATTAGGTAGCAGAAGTTACCTAATAGCATTTTTCATATAGAGCATAAACAGCAGCCTACTCAGAGTTAACTCAGGGTTATCAAGCAAACTCAGGGTTGACAAAATCTGACCGCCTACACTGTTAAACGGTACCACGACGGCGAATAAGATGTTAGTTGAGTTGGTGTTAACTTAAGTAGAGTATGTGCGCATTCGCATAGAAGGGGTGTGTTTGGCCGCATGCTCCGTATTTTTCTTAGAAGAATGCACGTTGATTGTGTCAGGATATGAGGAGTTTAAAGACACGTTTACGGCTAAATCTAACACCGTGGCATCGCACTGAGGAATTTGTCATTATCTTCAGTGTTCTTATTGTAGGCTAATTCTCTATTTAGTATTTTATGGACTCATTCACTTCCGAGATTAATCTACAAGTAAAAACCGTGAATATTCTGTGACATTATAGTCATATCTTTTATACTTTAACTTCACTTTGCAAAGCTGCAACATCACACACACCTCTGCCGTGTATTATGCATGCAATGGAAAGTTAACTTAGACAGTTCAGATTTAGCAATGAGGAAATACTTGTGAGTTTAGCCCACAATCACTATATTATCATGTACCTTAGAGACTTTGCTGGGGATTGGGCGTTTTCAGAAGAAAACACCAGACTGATTATAATTTTTTGTGACTTTGAAAGAGTTTTGTTCTTGTGAATTTGCCACTTTCATCTAGGATTTTTTTTTTTTTTCTTGGTTTATTAACTTCCATCCTGGCTTCGTATTTTTTGGACAAGTTAAATAGTCAATCTAGATACATGAAAACAGTTAAGATTGGCTACATCTGAGAAACTGTTGGGTTAATTAGGCTAATTAATATCTCCTCCCTAAAATCACAGAGGGTGCAGGGCTCGCTGTATGAACGTAGCCTAATGTTGTTGTGTTAAGAATAACTTCATTTCAGCCGCAGCCCCAGTGGAACAAGTCAGGATGAAACCTAAAAATATTTTATCAAGTGGTAATAGTGTACTTCTCCTCATTAACAGTGAGTTCAGATGTGGTGTGTAGTCCACGTGCAGGGTGACCTCGAGTTAACCACGAACACAATCGGCTCAGAGCAGTTAAGAGATGCAGCGTAAATTGGCATGGCAACAGACTTTGGTTAACACCTATCCTCCTTTCGTAGTACGGGTTAATCAGGAAGTTACACCTGACGTCACAAAGTTACTCGTGAAGTTACCTGGATAAGTTACCCCGCTTCGTAGTACAGGCCACAGGTCTAGACTGTACCCTGTTATATTAACAGAGATGTCAATGGAAAAGTATAAAAGAACATTTCCAAGCGTGCCGTGCCGTGCCGTGCCGTGCCGTGCCGTGCCGTGCCGTGCCATGCAATCAAGGCATTAGATGATCTCTGACTTTCAAACTAACCTGAACTCTCGCCCTTCAGGACTGTCTCAGGGCGTGTCAGGAACAAATCGAGTCGCTGCTGGAAACCAGTCTCAGACAGGCACAACAACTGCAACACTCAGTTACCATGGAAACTAAGAACATCGGTGAGGGGCAGGACCTCTCGACTACACCCACAGATGTCCGGGACATAAACATCTGATGAAGTGCCTGCTGAGCTGATTAAGTGGACGGTCATCTTTGACACACACATACAAAAACACACATGGCTTTGTTTTCATGATGTGGTGTGTTTTGGAGAGCTTACAAGTGACTGGACTGGACTCAACAGTATATCCGAACTGTCAATATGAAGTCCTGTATGAACTGTGCGGGGAACCAAAGGGAGATGCTCACTAAACACAATCACGTCCAGGACATTGATAGCCTTAAGAGGAATTGATTAACACCATGTGTGTTAAGGGCTTTTTACTGGTGGGGGGGGGGGGTGTAACGGGTGTTGTTTTAACGTCTGGTAGGCCCGTCTGAACCTAGGCCTCCTCCCAAATGGAAACTATCTAGCCTGAGAGACTAAAACCAGTTGGTGCATTACGACCTCCCTCGGCCCATATTTATTAAACATTTAAGAATTACACGGAACAATGCTCTACAGAGCAAACTCCTTTTTATTTTTTGCTTCGCATTACATATTACCTATACAGTATAACGGTATTATCATTTTAAAACATGTCTGCACTGCAGCCATCAAAGAACCCAACTGCCGTTTAGCAGTTTGATAAATATGGGCCCTGGTCAACATGTAAAGTAAGATGTTTATTAGCTGACAGTTGTCTTCTAACAGACAACAAAATGGTAAACTGCAGTGGGAAAAGTTCTGTGATGTAGTTTACAGTATGAGCTATGTTTGCATATGATTCTTCAGGACATCATGGACAATTGGCAAAAAAATGTCCTCATAACATCTGAAATTCTCTGTGGTTGAGATTCCCAAATTGAGATCCAAATAGCACATATGGCTGTGTGGTGTTTGGCTTATAAAATATACCATAGTATATGGAAATTGTTATAATATCTAATCACTTGAGCAGCACAAATGGAAAGGTATCATAAACTGCCAAACTGAAACCACTGTTCTAATGTGATGCAATGTAGTGCACAGCTTACACCACTAGAGGGCAGTCAGTGGAATGCAGTAGCAACCAAACATCAGTCTCAATTTTGGATTGACAGAGATAACAGGCATCCAGCAGCATCGTTGTCTGATCAAGAGGACAATTTTGGACTTGAATGTCATGCTTGTGCTGACACGTCACATTTTCTGTTTGCATCAGAAGCAAAAAAGGCACAGTAGCAAAGCATTACTTTATATGGTTGAGAGTTATGGAAGACGAATGATCAAAGAAACTGTAGATGTATAAATGTAGATATATCTGGGTGCTGCTGGTTACTTGTCAGTCCACTGAGGAGTAATGTCATTTGAAGCTTCTGCAACCTGTTTGTCTGTCAGACAGGACAACAAGAACTTGAAAACCTTTTTCCAACCACATGTGTTTCTGTTCTCCTGGCGAAAGGGATGAAGCATTTTTAATTTTGTAAAGGAAGATATCTGGTGAACTTCTTTGTTTAGCTTCTGATATTTATTATTTCTTATCACTTGACTGCTAAAGGTTGTTCTAAAAGAGGAAAGTTTTCTGGATTCAGCTGCTCTATTAACATTACCACACAGTGGTCCTTGAAGGTACTAACATTTTGCCTCTTGAATAGAGAAGCAACAATTAAATTGTTGTACCTACACAGTGGTATGATGAACTATTTTATTTTTAGGGTATTGCCCTCATGACATAAGCTTGTATCAGGTTAAGCCCTATTGTGTGTGTGTGTGTGGTTTTTTTTTTTTTTTTTTTTTTTTTTTTTTAATCTGTCCCAGGACAAAGTGTGAAGATAAATTAAAGGAAAACTGTCTCTTAAAGCCTGTTGGTGATGTTAATATAATTTCTGAGCCTATAATATGTGGCATCATTTTATTGGCCCATTGTAGATGAAGTGATCAATTTCAGCCAAAACGAGTAATCCTAAACCTAAAGGTACGGTCACATAGAGCGCCCGAAGTGACTGGAATCCGGTTCTGTTCCAGAACTAAGAAAACCTCATTCAAAATCCCATTGACATTACACCTGTGCTAAAAACTAAAAATCCAACCTTGGAGCAGGTGCCTTTCTGAGTGTGGCTCACTTCATATGTTGAAATAAACACTATGATTTTGAATCTTCTAATAATGTTTATTCTATATTTATGCTTTTAGTGGCCCATAAGGAACAACATTTCCCATAAGCCCTAGGTTGCTTTGGTTGCTGAATGCCGTTGCTTGCCAAAAGCTGAGTCGAGGAGTTGCAGTTAGCTAACAGCAGCACAGAGGGGAGCAAATGCTGCAGCAGTTTTTAGACAGCAGAGATTACATCAATTTAAAAATTACTTTAGAAGAGAGCATTGGTACGTTTAGTTTTTCTCACAATTTCTTGTTATATTGTGCTATACTGCTGCAATCGACCTAATACATTTACAAACAAATTACCACAATAACTGCCCGGGACAGATTGTGTGAGGCCCCAGGAAGTTGTAGGACAACAGTGTGTCATTACATTCACAATTTTAATCAGCATTAGTTGTTAGTCTAGCAAATCTACCACATTAATATTTAGGAACACAGCTTCCTTTTCACTCACTTTGATGGTCTTCTGTATGTTGTTGTGACCCTTTTGCTCTGACAAATGACTCTGCCAGTTTTAAGGGGGGACTTTTCTAAAAGATTGCCAGTGGTAAAAGTGGTGTATTTCGAGAACAACTTTTTCAGACACCTTGCAGTCCAGTACACAGTGAAACTGAAATTTGATCGAGCTCAATTCATTTTCAAAATTCAGATGATAGAATAGAGATTTAATTCAATGAAATGCATGATGCAAAATCAGACTTGTCTTTTTTCATCCCACAGCAGCGAGGTTTTTTGTAAATCAATTTGATTTAGTTATTTATTTAATTTAATTGATTAAGTCCATATAAACTAATGGGTGCTGCCTCTTAAACAATCAAACTGTGGCTACAATTCACCCATTTGCTTCAACAAGTAAAACTTACTAAGCTAACGGGCTACTGAGAGATGAAGAACATCACAGACTATATAACTGAAAATCCCATCGTGTTCTTTCACTGAAACTAGTTTCTTTTGTGTGTTGTGCTGCTATATTAATTATTTGTTTGTTTTGTAATAGAATATAGAGCAGTTTCTATTGTGAAATTGAAATCCATGTGAAATATATCATTCCCATTGATTCAGATTCTCAGGCCTTTTTCACAGCAGACATTCTACTTGTCACAGCAGGAACCGTGGATGAAACTAATTACATGGCTGAAATCGCTTACTGTGTACTATATTTCCCACCATTTTATTTGAGTGTCCAAATTGTAAGTGTGTAAATGTATGCCCAATATAGTTTTTCAAAAGTGGACCTAAAATGTGTCAATTCATGTTCACTACTTTCTGCTAACAATCCCACAATGCAATGCACTACATTTTAAAAATCCAAAAAACTGTACAACTATACACCGTCAGTGATAACAAAAAATAGGGATGATTGAGAAGTGTCCAAAATCGAAATTTACTGCTCACTGTAGAAGAAACGTCTGTGGGTCTGTTATACAGTGAGTAGTAAATGGGTGAGCGAGGGCTGTTCAAGGAATGAGTGAACTGCAATGCAGCAATTAAAGGTGGGTCAGATATTCTAATCCAACTCGTCTTTTTGTTCAATTCAATATTTGCTAAAAAAACAAACCAGTGTTTGTACTCAACCCTGGACCTGTAAATGGGAAACAAAGTGGCACGCAACCCTGCCAAACCATTCCAGCTGTTCTAGCCATGATGTGTTTGTTAGTAATGTTAAATGACTTGCCCACAGACATTGAGCTTCCTTTCTAGTTCACCAAGACATCACTGCATGAAAAATGGAAGTGGAAGTTCAGGTTAACACCTGCACAAGAGAATTTCTGGCCAGTACCAAAAAATGTCTGGGACTGCCGGGAATTGACGGGGATTTTGTTTGTCAGTGTTGCCCCCATGAGGCTTTCATATGTAAATGATAATGCTGGGAGCTATACAAATACAAATCAGGTAAGCCAGCACTGCACAGGATAGTTGGAGAAATTAGATGTGCAGGATGGAACAGGAGAGACCAAACAATCCTATCAAGACTTAGATTTGTACACACTGGAATACACAGTACATAATTGAAAATAGGCAAACATAACTCTGTTATGTCACTGTTGTGACTGCTGTGGACAAGAAGAAATAATAGAGCATGTTGTAAGAAGGCAGCTAGTTCAAAACCTCAGAAGGATAAATAGTACACTTTGGTTTAATAATAATTAATTAATTAATAAGTTTAATTGTTTTTCAGTATCTTAGACTAAACAATATGAATGAGAGGATATGAGTTTATTTTATTTATTTATGTAAATAATATAAGTACTAATCCTTTGATCCACACTCCTGGTGGCGGTAATGCACCAATTTCTTGTTTGCCAAGTTGTATTTCTGCTGGTAGTTTTGTTTTTATGTTTCATGTTGTCTTTTAAAGGTTTGAACTGACCCGTTTAAAGGACAATTTTGTTAATTTTCTGTTTAATTTAGAGGGGAGATATATGTGCAGCGCAGCTGTGCACTGGAATAAAAGTGAGTTGATGACTCTTGTTTTACATAACTCTGGTTTTGAGCTCCTGTAAAATTGCTTGCAGAAGCCTTGAGAGTCAGCAATTCTCTGCACTGAACGCCAGAATGTTGCAAGGAGGAGAGGGTGGCTGTTCTTCACATGGTAACGGACTGACCTGATTCCGGGGACGTAATCGATGTTCGCTGTTCTAGCTGAAACAGTGAAACTGGTACAGTCAACCAGATCTTGCTGCTAGGGTGACAGCCTTTAAGAGTTCTGCCCGGTGTTGATCGAGAGTGAAGCGATTTGTTGGATTAGATTCATTGTTGGTCAACATTATTATTGAGTGAGATGTATTGTTTCCCCCAGGGCGTGAGACTTTTGAACTCTGACTCGAATTAATCAGCACTGCTCCATGAAACATAGGTAGGTAGGTACATTTATTGTCACAATATAACAGGTTATATAATGAAACTGAGCTTTGTAACTCCATTCTGCTATATAGCAGACAGTATACATTAATACAGAAGCAATTATAAAACAGAAATAAACAGTATGCAAACAATGTCCAAATTGTAAGTGTGTAAATGTATGCCCAATATAGACAGAGAAGCCAGGTCAGGCTGCTGCCTCTGCTGCTGGAATTCAGATGGTAAGTAGAGTCATTAACACCTCCTTGAATTGAATTACATGAGCTGAACATGCCATGGTCACACGCTGGCATAACTTAAACTCTTA